TTTTTTTTTTTTTTTTTTTTTTTTTTGGTACCAGGGATTGAACTCGGGTCCTTGTGCTTCTTGCAAGGCAGGCTATCGAACCCCTGAGCTAAATCCCTGGCCGTAGTCATTTACTTTTCAGAGATGGGGGTCTCTCCAGGTCTCTGTACTGGCCAATCTGAGGTCAGTCTTGTGACCTGTCTTTCTCAGCTCTCCAGTGTGCTGGGGCTGCAGGCGTGGCCATCACCCCTGAATAGATGGCACTCTGATAACTTGACATCTCCCTTTTTCCCCTTTGCTGCTGAGATGCATTCAGGCTCTTGCTCATACTAAGCATGTGGATGTCCACTGAGCTGCATTTTCCCAAGATGGTGCTCACCACTTTTGTTCCCTCATTAACTGCATTGGTACATTTAAAGCAAATGATCCAGTTATATTTATCCTTGGGATCTTGTACCTTTACATGGTATGTCTTGGTTCTTGTTTTTTTCCCCCATATCCCTGCCCTCCCTTCACCCCCCTCACCCTTCCCTATTTACTAAGACTTCCATTTTTGCCTTTTTACTCACATTTTGACAAGCTAATTATTGCCATAAGCATCAGTACAATGGGCAGGATTTGACTCTGCTGGTCTTTGTCATTGTTATTCCTTCATGTGGTTTTTCTTCCAGGATGGTAAAGAATTTGGCATAGGGGACCTTGTATGGGGAAAGATCAAGGGCTTCTCTTGGTGGCCTGCCATGGTGGTATCCTGGAAGGCTACCTCGAAACGCCAGGCCATGGCCGGCATGCGATGGGTGCAGTGGTTTGGCGATGGCAAATTCTCGGAGGTGAGTTGAAGGCCAAGGCAGGGGCTCTGGCCCTCACAGCTGAAGTCTGACTTCCCTTCCTTTTGTAGTCACTTCAGTGACAGCTTTCTGAAGACAGGTTTGACCAGGATTTGACTGGCTGTGTCTGCTGTAAAGCACAAACTACGTACGATTGCCAGCTTGAATAGATAGTTGGATTCTGTGGGGCCAGAGCTTATCCTATTTGCACAGGGACAAAGGGTTGGAAAGTTCTGGAACTGCAGCCACATCGATAGCATTTATTTCTCTGGCACAAAATCAGTTGTGTGAGCAAGTAGGAAGTGGGATCTCAGAAAGATTATGTGAAGTTCCTGATGTGCAGCAAGGTGGGAAGTTTGGAAAACAATGAAAAAAGGGGGGCTCCCTAATAGTTTGTCCTAGGGATGCATACTCAATTTGAGGTTTGGCTTTTCACATAAATTATGGTTTAGGGACGTGTAGGAAATCTGGTAGGAAGACATGGCATGTAGATTTCCTCTTTGACCAGCAGAGGGAGCAGAATGACCAGCGTCTGAGTCCTGTACCAGCCCTGAAGGGCCCGAGGGCTGGGATATGTAGGCAGTTAATACCCCTGAAAGGAAGGAAGGTGTACTGTTTGTAATTGCCATGAAGTGTGCTTGGTGAGACAAGGTCTTATGCTAGCTAATGCAGATCAGAACTGGCTTTTTGGCTGAGAAGGGGCCAAAATGGCCTGAACCTGCTTAGGACGTGTCTGGGTGCTGCTCGTGTTAAGTGCAACAGTTGGCTGTTTTTAACAATGGTGGATCTACCTCCTGGGAGAGAGGTGAGGCTCTGGGCTGCAAGTGTAGATGAACATGTATGTGCATACTGAAGCCCTTCTGCCCTGTAGTTCTGCACAGTACAGGACTGAACACCTAGCTTTATCTCTTACACGCATCACGGCATAGATCTGCTCAGGTGTGAGCTGTCAATAGGACATAGAGAGACTTAGTATCATGTAATCAGCGTAACTCAAGTGTTCACTCTGTTCCAAGCACTGTTCTGTAACAGTGACATGTATTCCATTAATAAAATGGTTGAAGATGAAAGTTTTGTCCTTGAGCGTAGGATGGCCAGAAGAGTGTAGACAACATCCCAACTACAGGTGCATCTGGAGTGAAGTAAGTCTCAGCTCTGTAACCGGGGTATCAAAGCTACCTGCAGGAGAACACACGTCGATGAATCACAGTGTTCCAGTTTGACATGTGGAGGGTCATGGGTGTCAAGTTTTTGGCTATAGGGTACATTAGAATCCGCACCATTTCTCTTTTCTGCTTTTTCATTTTTCTCTTCTGGAGTTGGAACCTGAGCTTCCTGGTTAGGAATAGACTCTTAAGACAGTCATAGTGGACCCTTTAGAGCTGTCAGTGATACAAACACCCTGCTGTGGGCTTTAAGATGCGTGAGAGCTCTCCCTCCTGATAGACAGCTCTGTGGGGCACACATAGAACCTCAGGCACAGGGGTGGGCGATGCTGATGGTATCTTTCTCTTTTAGGTCTCCGCAGACAAACTGGTGGCTCTGGGGCTGTTTAGCCAGCATTTTAACCTGGCGACCTACAACAAACTGGTTTCTTACAGGAAGGCCATGTACCATGCCCTAGAGGTAACATGGGAGAAGGGGTGGGCCCAGACCTGAGTAGGGAAGAACAGGAGCAAACCCAAAAGCCAGCTCAGACTACATCCTGCCGAAGATGGCTTGGGAGGGGGACAGGGCCACTAGGGAAGTAAATGTCACTGTCTGCGAAGGGATTTGAGGCTCTGCCAGGAACTCTGATGGCCACTGAGTTGAGAAGGAAGAGCCCTGGGAAGTTTGGCATTCATATCAGAAGTGGAGATGGAGATACCTCTGCGCTTCTTTCAGTGGGATGTGGGGTGCAAGGCTAAGCTTGGATAGCAGCTGAGGCCAGCTGTCTCCACCCCTTCTCCGTGGGCTACACTGTCCCCTGTGAACTGTTTGGCTTTGTTCCATATTCTAGCTCCATTGGAACTGCTTTTGTCCTGCTAACATTTTGAGGCAGCCTCTGTGCTACTTGCCACATGCTTAACTAGACATGTAAAATCTGCACAGTCCATTTACTAATGGACACCTGACTAGGCCCCCAGTTTCATTAAGACAATAAAACAAGGCCGATGCCATAGACGACAGAAGAATACAGGCTGATACTGCTCCTGTGTCTTAAAGCAGCAGAGTTGGGTAAGGGTCCCAGCTTTGAGAGGGAGCTGATCACTCATTCTCCACAGAGAAGTGACCCCCTTGGTTTCCATGGAGACTTAACCCCCCTGCAACCATGGCCTCCTGTGTGTGTCCTGCCACGGGCCATTCCTTCCCCACCCACACACCTTACAGCTGTCTGGCTATGAAAGGGCCAAGTGTGAGGGGAATGTGGGCCTCGGCAAGGGGGGTCCCTGGGTGGGGCTTGACGAGCACCCTTTGTTTGCTCTGTGGGTCACAGACTCTGCCTTTATATCTCTACAGAAAGCCAGGGTGCGAGCTGGCAAAAACTTTCCCAATAGTCCTGGAGACTCACTGGAGGACCAGCTGAAGCCCATGTTGGAGTGGGCCCAGGGGGGCTTCAAGCCTACCGGCATTGAGGGTCTCAAACCCAACAACAAGCAACCAGGTGAGAACAAGTAACTGGCAGGTGGACCTAGGCCCACCTCTTGTGCTTAATGGAGCAAGGATGATGAAAAACAGTCTCTGCATCTGACAGCAGACCCTGGCTTCCCTGGTCTTTTTCCTTTTAAAGGTCACCGGCCTCTAATTGAGACTGGATTTCTTTTGAAAACTGTGCTGCTTCTTTTTTTGAGGTCATTGGAGAAAATTTTAAGTGTTCAGAAAAAGAGCTATATGCCATATCCTAACATTTTGACCAATACCAGATCTCTTCTGTTACATTTGTGATTTCCTGAAATACAGGAGGTCTTAACAGTCCATACATTTAATGTGATGTTTTCTGTTTTGTTTTGTTTCTCCCATAAAAGTGGTTAATAAGTCGAAGGTGCGTCGTGCAGGCAGTAGGAAATTAGGATCGAGGAAACACGGTATTTCTTTCTTATTTTTTGACTATGTTCTATTTCCTTTGGTCTGTCTTTTGATTTCTTAGAATGTGCAGTGGTTACTGAAAAAACAATCACATTTCTTAGAGCTGATCTGAACTTGTAGCCCTCTACCTCACTTCGCATCCCCACCGACACTTAACCTCACATTGTTGGGTGCACAGCCTTCCTGCCTTTTATGAACACCACTGGGATTCCTGCTTTCCTTTTGTTCTCAACGTTAATACTATAAGCACTACCAAATGGCATTTGTCACTAAACAGTCCTTGTCATTTTGAATGACTGTATGATATTCTTTCCTAGGTGAAGAGTTGAATTTAACCATGTCCATTAGGATTCCACAGATTGAGCAGAAATATAAATATAAATGGGGGCCGGGGATGTAGCTCAGTGGCGCTGTGCCTGCCTGGCAAGCACAAGGTCCTGAGTTCAATTCCTGATACCAAATTTTTTATAATTGTAGAATCTCATTTATAGACAAGGAGCCAAAGTAGAGTATTTTTTAGTAAAGTCACTGAAAAGGGAAAAAAAAAAAGGAATAGGTTAAATGACTCATTCATAATGTTTCTAACCTAACATTTGCAAAATACTAGCATTTCAACAGCCAGTACATTTAGTACCATCTCCAAAATGAGTTTTATATGTGCAACACATTCCAATTCTGATATTAAGTTTTCTATAGGAATATCGCATCTGTTACATATATATTAACAGTACAAATACTTTTGAGTATATTAACGAAGTTCACAAAGTATACGTGCAGAAGTAGGTTCACGGCAGGTGTGGTTGTGCACGCCTGAAAACCCACGTTCATTCAGGTAAAGCAGGAGGACCTCAAGTTGGAGACAAGCCTGGATTAAAGTGCAGGACCCCATTTCAAACCCCACCCTAATGGAAAAGAATTCTGAACCGATTTATTAGTCACTTGTTGATTTTTAAAAAATAAATATTAATGATCAATGTACAGTCCCTTTCCTTGGTCAGCAGTTGTGTTTCAAGTGCTCAATGGACATGCGTGGCTGACGCCTAGTACTTGGGGCATCTTAGACATAGGTGTGTCCGCTCTAGCTGTGGATGGAGGTATTCCGCCGCTCTTTGAGGTGGGTCTAGTTTAAAAGGATGTGTTCTTTTACATGTGGTTGTTTAAAACCCCATACACCTGCATTCTGCTTCTCAGGTATGAGGGGTTCAAGTGGGACCCTATCCTGGGCTGCTCTTTGTGGGTCCCTTGTCATGCCCAAGATGGCAGCTGCCTCCCAGGCACAGCACAAGCTTGTCCTGATCTTGCCTTCTCCCTGGACCCTCAGCCGAGCTGTGTCCACCTTCTGCTTACCTTTCATAGAGAACAAGAGTCGAAGACGCACATTTGATGACTCTGCCACTTCGGACTACTGTCCCCCACCCAAACGCCTAAAAACCAATTGCTATAACAATGGCAAAGACCGAGGAGAAGAAGATCAGAGCCGAGGTGATTGCTGGGGAGGAGAGGAGTCTAGGTTGGCCAATTGAGCACCATGCTATAGTGGGGTATTTATTATGGACAAGGGTGAGGGGTAAGTAAAACCTCCCTGCCGCATCGCCTGTCTTCTCTTTCCTCAACAGAACAAATGGCTTCTGATGTCACCAACAATAAGAGCAATCTGGAAGGTACTTTTTCTCCTTGTAGCCTTACCTTGGCATCAACATTTCTATTCCTACACCTTCCCCTGCCTCAGTTTAATGTGTAACTCTAGGCCTTAGCTCAGGTCAAGCCTGTTTCTGTTCCTTTTATCTTACTCCATTGTGTTAGACTGAAGGGTATGAATAATTTTGAGACTGATTTTGCCCCTGAAGTAAACAAGTAGATAAGTTGAGTTTGATAACAATGGAAGCCGGGCCATTTCAGCCAAAGAGAACCCAAATATAAAATTCGGAGCCGTGGCATCCTGACACATCCTTAGCTAAAACTGAAACGAGTAATCAGTGAAAAGCAGATTTGCTTTGCCATTGTCACACTTGCAAGCTAACTTTGCTGGCCCCAGCTGGAAACTTCCACTGGATGAAAAACTACCCAGAACAAACAACGGGGCTTCTCAGCCCTGTGTCCGTCCCTTGGTGCAGAAATATTTCTTGCTCTTGCTTGGGGTGGGATAAGAAAATGCACCCTCTGACCTAGAGACTCCTGGAGAATCTGGAGTTTGGAGCAGTCTTTGAAAATATTTGAGCTTGGGCTCACGATCCTTCATATACCCCAAGATGTATGTATGAAATACGTGTATGAAACGTTTATCCCCATTTCCCTCCTTTATAATGCCCAAGGCCACCCTAGCTGAGCAGAGTAGCCTACTTCTAAGGATCTGGGCTTTGGGTCTGCAGCCATGTACTGATGCTAGAACGTGGTCATGGGCAAGTCCTGTCATCAGCCCAGAGACACTAAAAAGCTTCAGATGTCCTATTCTTTTCCCTTTTTCATTTTTTTTTTTTGGGACTGGGGATGGAGCTCAGGATCTTGTGCTTGCGAGGCAGGCGTTGGCACCACTGAGCTAAATCCCCAGCCCTGTCCTATTCTTTAAAGAACATGCAGGTCATTAAAACTCATCCGTCTGCACAGTGTTCGGGCTCAGGTCTTCCTCCCGGGGTGGCCTCCGTGTATTTAGCTGTCTTGTGTCATCTTCTTTTTGTGAACTTGACTTTTCCAGTCTCTGAAATGGGATGGAACTTTGAAACACTGGAAAAGAATGGAGCACAGCATAAAGCTTCAAGAGTTCTTGGCACATTGCTGGAATAAATGGTTAAGAACTGTCAATCCTAAGGCTTCAGCAGCTGGTGCTAGGGCCGTAATTGACAATCTCTGACCCTGCCTTTTTTACAGATAGCTGCTTGTCCTGTGGTAGGAAAAACCCTGTGTCTTTCCACCCACTCTTTGAGGGTGGGCTCTGCCAGACATGCCGGGTAAGTCAGTCCTCCTACCCCTGCCCTGGAATTTCTGCCCCTTCCTTTGCAGCCTTGTTTTTACTTCCCCAAAAGAGCACCTGCCCCAGTCTTTAGTGGTGCCTCCCAGGATACCATCGTCCCCAACAGACACTTTTCCCTGTAAAGGGCTGCAGATGATGGGCTACTGATTCCAATGCTAAGTTCTAAGGCCACAGCCAGCGGGCAAGCTGGGCTGGCTGGCTCTAGTCACTGATTTCATGGGCATTTGTTTCTCTCTGCCTCCTAGGATCGCTTCCTGGAGCTGTTCTACATGTACGACGATGATGGCTATCAGTCTTACTGCACTGTGTGCTGTGAGGGTCGTGAGCTGCTTCTCTGCAGCAACACAAGCTGCTGCCGGTGAGCACAGTTGCATCTTGCGATTTCTGCAGGCCTGAGGCAGCTGTCTGTATTCAGTGCAATCCCAGGCAGAGGACTGGGAGAATTCTGAACTGGAGGCCGGTGATCTTGAGTCTAGAGCTGGAATAGATGCATAAGGGTGGTCCAGTTGTGTGAGGGAGGGAAATGAGGTGTCCAGGAAATTCTTCCTTAGAGCTCCTTACATTAGGGCAGAGGCAGCATTTCTTTGCCAAGAGCTTGTAGATTTCTAGGAGTAGGATGCGTAAGGAAGAGGTGTGTTAGACCTTACCCCCCACAGGCCACTGTGGAGCACCTGAGGCCCGAAGATGTTGTAGGGCATTATGCTGCCATCTCTGGAGTGTGGGAGAGCTGCCTGGTGACAAAGGTGTCCCTTTTATTTGGTCTTGGTGCAGGTGCTTCTGTGTGGAGTGTTTGGAGGTGCTGGTGGGTACAGGCACAGCAGCGGAAGCCAAGCTGCAGGAGCCCTGGAGCTGCTACATGTGTCTCCCGCAGCGCTGCCATGGTGTCTTAAGGCGCAGGAAGGACTGGAATGTTCGCCTGCAGGCCTTCTTCACCAGTGATGCGGACCTCGATTACGTAAGCTGCCTACACAGCCACCCACATGACGGGCAATATATGACTTAATGCAAATGAAGATGCACTATTCAAAGGAGCTTCTCTGACCCTCAGAGGCTGAGAGCCCCTGCTAATTAACGGGCACCGTTCGGATTTCTTAGTGTGTGGGTTTTCCAGCACTGGTCAATAGAAGCTTGTAGAATGGAGCAATCTTGGTTAGTTTGGGTGAAGAGGGCAAGGCATCCTGTATAGTTTACTCATTCTTTTCACCCTCTCCTCACTCACGTTTTTGTAGGAGTGAATTTGCTATTCTTAGAGGAAGTCTTTCTTGCCAAAGGTTTTTTTGTGTGTGTGTGTGTGTGTGTGTGTGTCTGTCTGTCTGTCTGTCTGTCTGTCTGTCTGACTCTGTATCTTGCTTCACACCTGTGATCCTCCTGCTTCAGCCTCCCAAATAGCTGGGTTGGTAGGCATGTTCTGCTGCACCTGCAGGCCATGTCTTTTCCTTTTGCATTTGTTCCACCCAGCTGTGTCTTGTGCCAGGATAGAATGGCCATTCTGTGCCAATTGCAGGCTGGTGTGTTTTGGGTTCGCTGTGTTACATGTTGCTGTCAAAGCTTCGTGATCCCACGGTGGGGTTTGAATCCCACTAAGGACGGATAGCCTGCACCTGATCTTGAGGCTCCCCCTGCTCTCCCTCACACTTTTTTCTCATCTGGCAGGAGGCCCCGAAGTTGTACCCAGCAATTCCTGCAGCCCGAAGGCGGCCCATTCGAGTCCTATCACTGTTTGATGGAATTGCAACAGGTGAGTGATTCACTGGCGGGCAGTCTGGCTGTTAACCTGTGTGCACCTTCTCACCATCTGACGCTCTTGATTCCCTTTAAAGTGTACATGTCTCAGCTCTTGTATTTTGCTTTTTTATTTTATTCAGGTATCTGAAAATTTTCATGTACATCCCAGTTAGCAACACCCCAGTCGTGGAGTTAGCACAGCCAATAGGCATAGCACCGGTGGGGTTCTGCTCGAGTTAACACTGACATCCACCTTCACTTCCACTCTTGTGTCTGCCTGGCCCCTCTAGGGTACTTAGTGCTCAAAGAATTGGGCATTAAAGTGGAGAAGTACGTCGCATCGGAGGTATGTGAAGAGTCTATCGCTGTTGGAACGGTGAAGCACGAGGGAAACATCAAATATGTGAATGATGTCAGGAACATCACAAAGAAAAATGTAAGGACTCATTACTCATCTATGTCTTGGTTTCTGAGACAGGGTCTCACTATGCACTCAGGCTTGAAATCACTGTGTAGCCTCGGTTGGGTTTGAACTAACAAAAATCCTCCTGCCTCAGCCTCCCCAAATGCTGGGATTATTTATTGGTGTACCCCACCATGCCCAGCTACTCTTCTATGTCTGATTCCTCTGCCTCCTTCACACTCGGAACCCCCTGCTTTTATTGCATGTTGTCTCCATCCCTAGCACTTCACGTTGTAGTGGTAAGAATTGTCACTTAAAAATAATTTAGTGATTGAGGTCTTAGAAATCTGAAGCACTTGAGCTTTCAGTGTTTGTTTGTTTTTTTTTTTTTTTTTTTTTTTTTT